ACACCACATGACCATTTCACACCACATGACCACTTTACACCACATGACCATTTCACACCAAATGGCCATTTCATACCACATGGCCATTTCACACCACAAGCTTGAAATAAACTCCCATGTGTTGAAGGTATTGAATGCATGAATTATATGTGTGAATTAAGTAGAAATGGAGAATATTTAAATAAAAAAGCAGTTCTTCTCTGATGCAAAATGCGAAAGCAATATAATCTACAGTATTGAAGTTCATAAAACAAAAAAAATTGTTTGTAGATCTGTGATTTGTTGTATTTATGAGCTTGTCCTATATGCATGCATCAATATCAGGAAGTTTTATTTATGTAAAATAGGTAAGTAATATTCTCAGAATATTATCTCAGATTACCCATGTGTCAAGATTCATTAAAATCTGATGAATGGTTGAGATACTAATAAACTTATTGTGAACTTTCTGAATATGATGTCTGTAACCAGCACATCTTTGAAAACCATTTGTTTGTTTGTTGGTTGGATGTGAACTTTATTATTGTGTGCGGTCATCAAATGCACAAATGTATTGATACTTCATTTTGTCATACAAGATAATATGATGATAATAATATCGGTAAATGAAATCAAATTCAAATAAAATATGTTGCTTGACGTTAAAAAAGACGTAAATTAAAAAAAAGGTTTATTCGTGCATTGTATTGCTATGCAAAATATCAATACATAAAATGATTGTGTGGTATGAAATAACTGCATGTAATTAACACTTGCATTTGTTTATATGTGTTTACCTTGACATTCTGTTCCATTAACATGGAAACCATTCTTGCATTCACAATAATAGGACCCTGCTGTATTGTTACATATGGCATCTATGTGACATATGTCTGGCGTTTCCCTACATTCATCGATGTCATCACAGTAATTTATCCCATCACCACGGTAACCATTGTCACAACCACAACTATATGTTCCAGGAAGATTGACGCATATTGCTTCATTAATATCCAAGCATGTGTCGTTAGCATCACATTCATTGTCATCTGTTTATGGTAGAATAAAAATACTGGTGCTAACAATATGTTTTAGAATCCGTAATTTCCATTAAAATGGTATAATGTAACATAGGGGAAGTGGTTTACATTCAAATGGTACAATGCAAAAGAGGTGATGTAACTTCTATTAAAATGATACAATACAATAGAGGGGTGTGGCTTGTATAAGAGCATCTACACATATGAGAAGTGGTAAATGTTTGGTTCTGAAATGGTGCGATTTCAATTAGAGATGGGGCTTCTTATGAAGGTTTTATGGTAATTCACTTGCTAATACAAGAATAATACTTGATTGTTCCAATGACACGCGAGATGCATGGTTAACTTAATGATATTCATAATAGTCGATCCTGAGAGAATTTTTTTGTAAGGGTCAACTTTGCGGGAGATGAAATGTATCGTGATTCTAACAAAGTAGTGATAAGCACGTCATGAATACTTACCATCACATGTAGTGCCATTAAGTTGATAACCAGTATGGCATTCACATGTAAAGTTTCCCATTGTATTGATGCAATCTGCATTTGTATCACAATTGTCAGCGTTATCATGGTCATCGGGTAGTTCACACTCATTAATATCTGAAATATAATACCAACACATAACTGACATAATGATATACGTAATAATGTTTAAATAATTACTTATAAATTCATCATTAGGGACGAACAATGTTCACTTCTCATATGTGTCATGATATACTATACTTTAATATCAAGTATATGGAAAGTATCAGCTATAAGGCTTGGGAAATATTACTATACTCGTTCAAAGAATCCAATAGCAAATCGTAATGGAAATGTTCTAATTATACAATAATGTCACTAAATCATCGCCAGTTGGCGTATCACTTGTAATGCTTATCGTATCAATGTTTTACCAAAGCAATTGAAGCCATCTCCAGTATATCCTTTGATACATATACATAAATATGAACCATCAGTATTGACGCATTCACCATGTTGCTTATGACAATTATTATCTGTTTCTTTGTCACATTCGTTCATATCTGAAAAAAAGATTGATAACATGATAACATGAACTGATTAAATTATTTAACCTGTTGCGTACAAATAGTTTCCTTAATTTTCCTTCCTTTTCTTAATTTTGGAACAAACAAGGAAAATATGACGTTGCTTTTAATAATTTGATCTAAAAATTGTTAATTTTGTGGATGGTGACTGAAATTGACTTTGTCACTTAAGTTTTGAAATGTACAGTAATTAGTAATACATGTAGAGGGCTACCACACAAGTTGTGTGTTACATGATGAAAACCTCATATGCATCAGAAGTAAATGTATGAAGTTTTGTGATTTGAGAAATTCTTACAAATTAGTGATCGTCTTGGTCAGTGTTTTTGCTTATTTGCAAAGCATATATAGAAATACTGTAGAAATAC